GCATAAACATTTTATAGTAAATTGCTCTTTTGGTGCTGTGGATATGCAGCCACAGTCACTTATAAATAGTCCTTCGTCAGCGGAAACAGTTCACACAGTTCATCAGTTTACATATAATTTGCAATGTTTTGATGAATTAGTCCTAAACAGCTTCAGCTTAGTAGACAGATAAAAGTGCCTGAACCTAAGAAGGTAGTATGATTGTTTACATCTAAATGATTTTTAACCCAAGCTAGCATTACATTTTAAGCTTTTATTTCCTTTTTTTCTTCTTAGCAGTAGTATGGCTGTACATATCACCCTCTGAGCTGAGCTATTATATCTCCATTCACTAGTTGACCAGACATGTAATCTTCGCAGGCTTGTGTATTCCTTACGTTCCTACTCTTACTCTGCTCCACCAGCTTGTCTCTTGGAGATCACAGCTCATATGAGGTATTCTTTCATGTTCACCGACTTGTCTGTTAAACCTTGGACAGTCAGTGTATCTGTTCTCTGTGTCGGCTTGTTTCCTATACTCATAGAAAACACCAGCAGCATAGAAAACCTACTGTAGAACCTAAGTCATCCATCAAGTCTTTAAAAAATGAGTGGGAATCAGAGTTTTTGTGGGGGGGTTCCCAATGTGAGCTCACTGTGTTATGAGCAGAGGCAATTGAGAACCACTATCTGAGTCAGAATCTGCCTCTAACTGTAATAAAGTGGCTAATGGAATACCCTGCTCCCTTTAACACATAGGTTAAACGTTTTCCTATACAGAGGGGGGAAACATTAAATATGCTAAAGATTATCTGGGTCAAATGTAATTTTAAATTTTTCATGTTGCACCATTAGGTGAGTGATTTATTATTAATAAGTTTAAATCACGTTTTAAACCATCACTCGTACGTATGTATGGGGTATTTACGTGAGGAAATCTCAACTTACAGTACTAGTTTCTGCAGTGGAGATGTTCAAAAGAAGAAGACTTATTTTCTAATCTTGCCAGTTCTGCTCAGACTCTCCTGTATTATTGTGTTCATTTAATCTGAGACGATCGGACAGCGTGTGTACATTTAAGGCACGTGTGTGTCAAAAAGAATGAGAGGGGGCGCCCATTCACATTAGCGCATCACAGCAGGCTCTGGAAACACACTGATAAGCTCATCCTTCAAAGCTATTGAAGGTGATGTAAAATAGATGAGGGGGACGCAGGGTTACAGGTACAGGAGTATATTTTTCATTACTTTTGAGAGGTTATGGAGAGGGACGGAGAGGACCATAATCTGAGTTACATCAAAACAGAATGTTTCATCAGAAATGTTACTGTCAGTCAGGGGGTAAACCGAGGCTCTGCTTCATCCAGATCAGCTTCTCAAGCGGCTGTTATACCTGGATGTGTTTTTGGTATTAGATATTATTTGAATGTTGCTCCTGCATTTGTGCCTGTGTACAGTATATGTGTGTTTTGTAGTAGCAGTAACACTGCTCAGCATGTCAACACCCTAATATGTTGTGTCCCCCCCCCTCACCCTTTCACCTTTGCATATAATTACCCTGCTGAAAGCAGACTCCCTGCTAACATTTCAGGTGTTTCTTCGATGCATTCTGGGACTAAAAATAATCAGAATTTATAACGATACATTTTCAAAGCGAGAGAGAATGTGCAACAAATGAACAGGTGTATTCTCTCAACTGCACAGAGAAATTAATTTGTTTTTACTGATGAGATACTGATGAGAGTCCTAGTAGTAAGTCACTGCCGATCCAGTGGCCTGATACTCCTTATCACTGAATGTACTTATGTATCTACTTAATTTTAATAGCACAGTGGATAGATGAGAAGTTTGCACTTCACCAAGTCACTTTATGTCCAGAGTCATTTGACAACAGTGTGTGTGTTCATTTGTTTATTGAGACAAGTACTCTACTCCATGTTAAAAGTTTAATTTATTTTTAAGTATTTATGCCTAGTTTTATTGAAATACTGTCAGTTTGAAGAGTTCAATTTGTATTTTTCTGTGTTTGTTCAATACAGAAATATTGTTTTTCCATTTGGATTAAAATAGTGTTCACTTTATGAGAAGAAAATTAAGCTGTCTGTCACGATTTCACTGTTTTCACCGTTGTTTACACATACACTGCACGTGCTGCATTATCCACAGAGCTGTGCCTCCTATATGACACTGCCGTCCAGTTCAGTGCATATTTATTGCTACCCAGACTAAAAAAGTATCAGTATTGCTCTGGGTATCGGCAAGTTAAAAAAACAACTTGTACACTTATCGTTTTATAAACAGTGTTTTGGGGGAACGAGAGTTTATATTTTGATTTGAACATACACATACTGTATTTGCGCTCTGCCAAGAGTGATTTGCATGTGACCGTGCCATGAACTTTGCTACTGTGTTCTCAGGCTGGATGTTTTATAGTCATTGAATCAGCCAGCTGAGCTGAATTGAAAAGACGGCCAGTGCAGCAGATGGTCACTAAAGGAGAGGCAAATAAAAATTAAAATAAAGATAAAGAGAAAAGAGAAAAAGTGAAACGCATCAATATAGAAAATGAAAATCAAGACAAGCTGATGAAACGTACATAATCAGAAACATAGATTGGGACAAGGATGGAAGGATGTGAGGAGATCAGTATCAGTAACAGGTGATGCAATAGAGGTGAGAGCTTTCTCTCTCTATCTATCTATCTCTCTGTCTCCCTCTTTCTCTGCTCCAGAAGTATCGTTTCTTTTCAGACATATTTAATGGAGCACGGCTACGAGAGGGGATAAAGGAAAAGTACAGTAGAACACAATTCAGGTTCATATACCCTCACACAGAGGCCCAAACACAGATGTAAGAACACTGACACACGTACTCTATTTTCACTCGATGCAAAGAACAATCTCTTCTTAAAAGATTTTTTGGAGGTAGGATGCATGAGCCTTGAAAGTACAGACAAATTGCCGCATAGTAGAAAGAGAAAATACATGGAAGGTGAATATTATTAAGGGTTTATTACTGTAGTTACCATTTATCACAAACGACACAAAGAATATTCCTCCATCTTTGCATCAGCAGCACCAAAGATGATATTGTACTCCCTTTGAAACTATAGATAACTATAGTGCCTGTATGCCTTTGTAAAAATATAAATATAAAAATATATTATAAATAAATTATATTTTTTATTTTATTCAATGAAATATTCAAGCCATTTTATTGCAAAATAACAACCTTATCTCACAGAAGTTTGAAGTTGGGTCGGTGATGCAGGAAACATTTTCATAACATTCTCCAATCCCTGACTCAACAACAAACTTGACTGTGAGATGAAGAAGCCTGAGTCATTACTCCAGAGAGCAGGTTTCCACAGCTGCACAGTCCACTGCCAGTGTGCTTTACACCAGTTCATCCCATGGCTGGCAATGTGATAAATACTGTGTTCCCTTTACCTCCAAAGTTGGCAACAGGTCACAATAAATTCACTTTTTTTTCTGTTAGAAACCGAGTTCGAAGCTTTCCAGTTCTCACAGTTAGAGAGAAAGATTAACTTTTTCAGTGGAGCTTTTTTTTTTTTTTTTTGCACTTGGTCGTTATGGTTACAGCTGGCAACGAACTGAAAGTCTGCCTCACAGGCAACAGTAAAATAATGCAGCACGGACAACTCATTATAGAATGATACAAAGACAGAACAAATGCAACTGAAACTTTAAAATAACTGCTTCTATGCACAGTGTCAGTTGCATGGCCATCGAACAGTTAAAGCTCACTTAAGGTCTAAAAGCTGCAGTTGTTTAGTGTAATCCAGGTTTTCCTGTCGACTATGTCAAAGCTGGACATCACTTGAATAGTACTCATGCAAAAAATATTCCTGGTTTTTCACATCTTACACAATTCATCCGAGCATGAGCCAGAAGCCCAACTTCCATGGAAGTGATGATTTTATTTTTGCATAATTTTTCAACCCAGGATTCAGATGAAATAGAAAAAACAAATCCTGTGCTGTCCTGTTGAAGCCAATGGAAGTTGAGCTTCAGCAAATTTATTACAGGTCTATACTCTCAACACTTAAGGGAATGTTTTAGAGGAAAATCAAATTATACAATTCATGCGAAACATCTGTTCCTTAATGAACATTCACTCAAATGACACTTTTTCATTATTCATTTTTTTATTTATTAAAAATAAAACCTCACTCTGAAGAACATCCGACACCAATGATGAAGTTCTTCCTCTGACTGTATTGTTTGCACTGTCATACTTGTGTGACTGTACTTTATATAATGCAGTGTCGTCTGCCTGCTCCTGTTCTCTCTTTCCTCCCTCTGCTCTTCCCCCTTCTCTTACTGTCAATGAGAAACTGCTTCTTGTGCCAATATATAAATATCACATGCCACAATATTGAAAATTTCCAGTCCGAAAATCAGCTGGGATAAAAACATCTGGAATGTAAATTCACTGTTTATTCGCAGCCTTTTGTGCAGATGTTAAAGTCAGTTTTGTTGCTTTTTTAGTTTCACTATTCCTCTTGAAAGAGCCATTGTTTCACACAGTCAGTGGTGCATCTTAGAAAGTGTTGCCCAATAGATTTGTGCAAAAAAAAAAAAAAATAAATCAAAAGTCCCAAATATATACAGTATATAAAAAACAAACAACCAGCTGTGTGGAAAATTGAAGCAAAAAACTACGACAAAGTCCTCTTCAAATTGTAGACTTGTTTATTTTTTCGAGATTGATCGCTCACTTCTGATGAATCATTCATTCTTTTTTTTTCCTTAAATTATAGCCAAATGCCTTGACGATCAGTGCTCTGGTATAAAAAAGTTAACTCTCTGCTAGTGTAATAGACACCAGCCTTGAATTTCTATTCACACACTGGTCAAACCAGCTGCCACAGTCTGAGCTCAGGAAATAATACGATCTAATAGAAATGTTTTTCGGTGTTCAAACTGTTTGTTGTCAACAAAAATAAGGCTTTGACCAAACTGACAAACTTCCTTTTGCCTTTCAATCTTCACCCTGTAGGTTCAGGTTTGAACGACGGACAGTGGCATGCTGTACAGCTGGTTGCCAAGGAGAACTTTGCCATGTTGATGACAGATGGGGACGAAGGCTCTGCTGTTCACTCTAACTTGCCTCTCAGCATCACCACAGGGGGAACATATCACTTGGGAGGTAGAGTATACCATTACAGTATATCAGTGTTTTTCAGCTTTAGGGTCGCCATTATCATTTGACTTTAAAATGGTGCTGTTACACAGCCTCTTAAACACGTCCAGTTAAATACATTTAGGGGGGAAACCAATCATTGTTTGTTATTGTGGAAATGGGCTGTATATGTTTCTTTGAAGTTCTGCTTAGTAAGGTATAACGGTACCTTAATCTAAAAGGTTTTTAGAAAAAGATATTACTTACTTTCACTGATTTGACCAAGTCACATACAATTGGTGGTTAATTATTTAGAGCATCACAACACTTAATGTTAGCAATAAACTGTTTTTTTTTTATTGCCAAAAACTGTTTCAGCCAATGCCCCTGCCCCTCTCTTTCTCTTAAAAGGTTTATTCCTTTATATCACCATCCTATTAGTTAATGTAAAAATGTATAAAAAATGTATGTAATTATTAAGGCAAAACATTTAAAAATGTGATTACCTGTCAGTCCACTAGAGAACCTTTTGAGAATGGCATCATTTAGCGCCTGTCAGGGGTGGAGCCACCTGCTGGCTCTTACATGAAAAGGATCCTAATCTGCAAATATTAGACTTTGAAAACAACAGTAGGTGGGCGATTACAATGATGGACTTTGACAGGACCGCCATTAACCACAATCAATCAGGATTTGCAAAATGGCAGGTTAATGGTGCCAGACACTGCTGTCCATCCACGTGGAAGTGGTTCATATCCATCAGCACCTGCACGTGTTCTGGTGTTCTGCTACTTTACACATGGCTCTGTGTGTGTACCTACAGAAATGACAGTAATTAACAAGAAGAGTCTCAGTGTTTATATCTCTGCTGGGCCTTTGTTCTTCTTCCTGTCTGTACACAGTCTCTTCATCAACCAATGCTATTCCCCCTCAGGCCAGTCAATAAGGCTGAGAGCTAAACTCAAACGGAGAAAACGACACAGACATTCACAGGAACGTCCTTTTTTATTCCAGTGTCCATCTTCATTTACTCCCTGCTGATGTTGAGTGGACTTGCTTGAAGCTTATAATAGCTCTGTACTTTTCTTTCTTCAAATCGATGGTGAAGCCTTTATTGTTTTTTTTTCTTTGCTAATAGAATTTTATATAATCTGTCCTTCATCTAACTTTGTCTTTTCCCCTTCATCTTTCCATTTCGTCTTCTCTCGACTCTCTCCCTGTGGTGCATGTTTTGATCCAATTGGTGATATATTGATTTTAGTTCCGCTGAGCTGTGAATCAATAGCAGCTGAGATGAGATAATCTCTCTAATGCTATGATATTTCTCTCTCTCTTTAGCTGGGCTAGAGACTTTTTAACAAACGGAGTGACAGAAAACCCAGACTCCCACCCACTGCCAGCATCATTATGTGACTCATGGTTAGCTGCTGTCGGCTGCCCAGTTCTATCCAACATCATGATGTGTTCAGCCTAAATATTAAGGGTTGGTTTAATTTTTAAAAAAGGGTACATTATTTGTAGTACTTTTCCCCTAACAATAGCTACACTCTCAGTCACGGTTATTTTTCAAAGCAAAAACATCTCAAATATTATGGACTAATAACAGCGAAGTACAACAGATTTGACAATGTTGTAGTAAATATAAGTAGTTCTCTCTACTTCTTTATTTCTAAAAACTATGCCTTTAGTGAGATATACTGAATAATCACAGGCCTGTCTTACCTGCAGTACCTGTATGTATCCAGGAGGGAAACATGCATATTTTGTGTGTTTACTTATTTTACAGTGTGTGGCTCTCACCTACCCCAGTGCTTTACACATTTGTTAACCTCTACATAAGGCAAGTACAAAGTTGCTTTGTAGTTGTCTCAGTTTTTCCAAATGTTTGGCCAAAACGGCAGCAACTGTTACTGCAGTTTTCCTCAGTAATTTGAGATGACATGATGAATGCTGAGGAGTGGGGAGTCTGCTGAGAAACATGTGTGAAGGCTGCAGGGGATACAAAGCTGCTGGTTGTTATTTTGTGAGAGTGAAATTTAGGTCACTGACAGGGTGTCATTTTGGAGTTACATACTGTAGTAAAAGGAGGATTAGTCACATCAGCCAACATTTTTTACATACACACACACACACACACACACTGTAACGTTGGAAATGTTTCTCTGTAAAAAAAAAACAAAAAAATAGACCATTGGGTTTCAGTCATTAAAGATGCAGAGGCCTCACAAGAAAAAGTCAGTTTGAGGGTGAGTAGGTTGAGCATCAGTTTACCAAGCTTTAGGGTAGACTCACTGTGGTGAAACAATAAAACTGTAAATAAATCATTTCCTATGTTTTAAGAAATAAGGAATGACAACAGTTTAAAGATTTATACTGCAGGTTCTAGTTGTCATGATAGTTGTCATGCCATTTTGTTACAAGTCTCATACAGATATGTCAGTAAATATGACTGTAACTCACACACAGACAATTTAAGTTCTTTGTTATTTTAAGGGCAATCAATAATCTTCAAATCTTCAAAAAGTAAAAACTATAGGCTCTAAAACTGCTAGTTTTTAATCAGATGAATCCCAGGGTAGCTGTGGAGTAAATTTGATAAATGATGAATTGAGTCAACATTTCTAAGTGTGACAAAGAACTTTTTTCTTTTCCCCTTATGAATGAAACAAAGACAAACAACAGAAGTTATAAGTAAGATGTTAGTAATTCATCACTTTTTATTATTTGTGACTGATCCAAATGATGGAGTTAAAAGTATTGAAAAAATGTCAAAAAGAATAAAGGAAAATATAACGTAAATTTCAGACAACATCAAGATGCACATTCACGATGTTGATAATGTTATTTAAAAAACCACAGATGGGCTAATTTCCATGCAGTACAGTGGTAAGTGGATGATGCAGTCACAATACAAATGATGGTCCACTCTGCGGTTTGACCTTAGTTGCTCTCTCTGATCGCTCGTCATGATGAGTCAGAGAGGCCAAATGCATTAAGCTGTCCAGACCCTCTCCGACTCTATCCCATCAGCAATTTCTCTGTCACTGAGGGGTTTTCTGTCATTGCACTGCAATTAGCAACAACAGTGTAGTAAAATAGACGGCCCTTGTTAATATAAGTACTGTACTGGATTCACATTATGGCCGAGGGTGAGTTCCAGCGCCCCGGTCATGCTTTTGCTTCTAATCGTTAAAGGCTTTAAGGCAACAATGTGCTCAGGCGTGACACTCCGTGGCTGGAGGCGTCGTGTTCTTACGTCGTCCCTTTTGCCAACTGCACATCCATCCCTGTCACAGCTGTCATTGCTGTCTTCTGTGTCTGTCCTAGCTTGTCCTTTCCTTGTCTCACTCATGCAGTAAATGTACTGTTTGCTCTGGTGGAAAATGATCAGTGTCGGGGTTTGCCGATCTGCAGGACTCCATGTCCGCCACTTATAGTAATGTTTCTTTCCCTCTGCAATTAATGTTTATTAAGCATGGCAAATTGCCACATTAAATTAAATTAGGACTAATTAGTGTAATGGTAAAGCTCAAGTGCCACACATGTACATAAGTATGCATATCATATTCTTCATTATGGCTTCAACAACAACTCAGAAGAAGTGTTTGGATTTAGAGCAAGGAAGTGATAATGAGAGTGAGAAACACAGACACACAAAGAAGGAGAGGTTTTTGTTAATAATCTTGTCTTTAAAAACACAAAGACGGTGAGAGTTTACTTTAGGAATTTAACCTTATACACAGAGATAATGTCATTCCTGGGATTAACTCACCTTTACTGTCGCCTAGGATGACTGGACACAGGCAGAAGAAGAGAGAGTGACAGAGATCTCTTCAATTTTATTGTGTAGTTTATCCAGAGTCATACAGAAGCAGACGAGCTGCTGTTTTTCCTGCAATTCTTATGCATAAATCAGCACTCAAATGTATGCAGTCTTCATTTTCTTAGTGCTATTCCGTCAAACATTACAGGGTTCCAGAATGCTTTTAGATAGCATTAATATTAATACCACCAATGTGTAATATTGGAGCAAGTCTGCCAAAAATGCTAAACAATGATTTAATTATTGTAATAAATTACCCAATCTGCATAAGTGGCTATGTTCAATGTATTTTGATGACTGTGGTGGGCCAATATTCAGCTCTCGAAAAGCTAGGACGTGATAATCCTGGGGCTAATACATTTAATAATCATTTTTGTTGCTCAGATTAATTAAGGGACATCTTTCTCTGTTGACACTGCCACTGCAATATGGCAGAGTACAACCTTCATACTCTTGAACACATCAAACATCAAACATAGCTACAATCAATCCGTGTTTTCCTTAATGGTTAGCACAGAATTTACAAAAATCTTCAAAACATCCAACTCTAGTTTTAACAGAGAAAATATCAGTGGGACACAGCTGCTGGTGAAAAGATGCAGCAACATTTTAATGAGTTAGGGGATTGCTCCTGTTTTCAACATAATTTATTGCTTATTCTTTTTTAATTTCTTCTTACTTTAATGTCACATCAGCAGAGGAACCATGAGATAAATCCTAAGATATACAGTAACTCCCCGCCTTCTGTGAATCCCTGGTATTGAAATTTATTGAAAATTATATACCTCAGGGACAGCTAGGGATTTACATAATATTATGGTTTGAATGTCAGTAAAAAGACACAGCCTTCACTTCATTTATTGAATTTAGTCATCTCAAACCATAGCTGTCACTTCGAACGATCTATTATATTATATGTTTGTTTTAAATGTATGGTTGTAGATTATAAACAAATGTCCACTCACCTTGCATTGCTCTTAAATCATGCAATAGAAACATATTTATGTATAGTAATAGGCTGTTATTTTACCTAATTATTTAGAGGCATTATTCACCGAAAACACGCTAAAATAATAAAACTATTATTTATTGTTTATTATTTCTAGCTGACTAATTACGTGATGCACACACTCCAGCCCTGTAGGTGGTGCTAGACCAGTGTACCTTAGGTTTGTTTACCGGTTTGAATACTATACACTCCATACATATTTACTCGTAAAATTGTGAAGACCACGACCTACAATTACCATCTTCTCTACTCTTATAATTTCCGCATTTCTTCCTGGTCCTGATGCACTTACATCACAAAAATAGACCCATCCCTTGCCCTCTTCTGACATCTTTCCACCTCCATCCTTCAAGGTTCTGTCTCTATAAACAGCCTTCTGAACCAGAAGGTTATCTTACAGGGGCAGTAGTTTTTCACTCCTGATAATGCACTTCCCCAAATGGAATTTTTTAAGACGGAAAATAAAAAAGATTCTCATTTATGCACACACATTCACATATATGCTATATATATATTCCTCAGTACAAGGCAACGGGACAATATCTATATTATTCAGGCTATTAGAGCGGCATTGTAGTTGTGTCTCAAATCCTCAACCCTTTTTTCACCACATTATTTTACGTACATAATTACACAGTTTGTTGAGTGTGTGACTGAGCTGCACACACTCTGTAGCTGAGGCCAAGTGAGGTAGATACAGAACATTCCTGTTTTTTTAAAGCAAATTACCTTCCATATGCCTCCAACGTCTGTGTGTTACCTCTGCACTCTGTAGCTGAGGCCAAGTGAGGTAAAGATACAGAACATTCCTGTTATTTTAAAGCAAATTACCTTCATTATTACATTATTACATTAAAAAATAGCATGCTACAATAATGGGCCATGCACACAGCAGGACGGTGTGAGGCTTTGTTCTGCAAAATTACCAAAATATGGCTTCATTGAAATAAAGTGTGTGTACTCAGTTGGCCTGCCTGCAGTACAGAGGTCTCTGTTACACTTCTAATCTGTCATTGAGTGTAAGCTAATTCTATAAAACTCTATAATTGAATGTTTACTACACTGTATCAGTTAAAATGACATTCATTTTAAGCATATGGCTGCATTTACCCACTTTAGGAACATTAAACCTGACACTCACCCACATATATATGTACTTCAGTTGTATGTGTCACTGTCACACACCCCACGCATTGCATTGTATGTGAGCGAGAAACATGCTGTAAACCCTGAAATGCATACATGTACAGGGAACTGTATAATGTGTTCCATTCCACTTGTACAGGGAAAGAACAAAAGCCTATCCATGTTCTGGTTCACCATTTAATTTTAGTTTGAAAGGAACATTGTGATCTGATGTGACTACAAAGGCTAAAAAGGCAGCTAACAACAAATGACTCCCCGCAAATTGGGCAGTTCTCCTCCTGCCGACTCTGCTGTGCTGCCTTTAATGCACAGCAGCGATCTGTCTTATGACCTGGTAATTATTCCCTGGTTGCAGGAACCCTCCAAAGTGTAAGAGCACCTGAGCTTCTAAAGTCAACAAGAAATAAGTGACTTCTGATTAATTACTGTAAGAGACTCAGTGCCGCTCTTTGGAGTCACACATTAAAAAGACAAGGTCACACCAAACTCTCAAAGTCCCAAAGGCAAACCTACATTTCAAACGGCACAGGTCCTCAGATCTGAGAAGGTCAGAGAATATAAATATTTGTATGTAATATTTGAAAGAACAATCAGATTCAGAGAGGCATTTTTAGGGCCTTTAAGGACAGGAGGACTGGGAGAAACGGCAGCAGGTGGTTCATAAATGAACAAAATGTAAATTCACACATTGTTTCTCGTCATATTTTATTCCCTTTGAATCGGTCGTAGAGTTAAATCCCACTGAGCACTTTGGATAATTCCCTGCCTTATTCTTTTGAAAGCAGATGTATCATTCAAAATGTGTGGAAACAAGTGTTCTGTAGCCCGAGGCCCAGCCACGTCTATCTGATGTGTTTAAGGAGGAGAGAGTTGGTGCTGGTCCTACACTGTGAATTATAAGAGAAGCTCCTTGGGCACAGCAGGGGGCTGTGATAGTGCCAGCAAGACTGTGAGTGATTACTGCTGGTGCTGAGGATCCTAAGGAGTAAGACAAGACGGAGCTTTTGTTTATGGTGCAAATAAAAATCCACGGACCACGAGGACACTTTTCTCCCCAGACATTCTTGGATTTAAGGCGAACTTGGAATCAGGCCGTAGGTGGCGTAGCTGGAGGATGTACAGATGCACGGCCACATCTGTGCCTTGTTTGTGATTCCACCTCGTTAATCTTGGTCCGTGTCTTCCTCTGTGTTGTCACTACAGCTGCATCACATCTTTATGAATAATAGAATGATACATCGAGAGGCACAGAAGAAAATTGGCCTTAAGGTTTGTTGACGGAGGAGGAATAATAACAGTGCACTAAAACTGTTCAATAATGACAAAGACTTCTCTGTGGTAATAAGGGTGAATTTGAACTTTGACTACTGTCTGACTACATTTTAAGCACTTCCTGAGCAAAATAAAAATAGATTTTTTTTAATGTAATAAATAATGTCTACAGACTTCAGACCTTAAGTCAACATTTTCCTATTACATCTTAAGCAGATAAGGGCTGGGGTTTGATTCGTTATCATGGACTACAGAACTACATGTAGTGCTATCACATGGTGGCTGTGGATTGATCAGGATTAATCATAATTATAATTATAATGTTGCTGGAATAGAAGGACAAATGACAGCAGGTAGGTGCATCTGGTTATGTGATATTCAAATGATATAATTGTCAACTGAAAAATTGTCCAGAAAAATATCCCTAACTCAATATTTTGAATAATAGAGTTTGTGTTTTGTGAGTCCTAATGGTGCCCTGTTGAATGAGTCGAAAACTTAACACATGCTGGGATGGTATATTAAGCTTGATGTGTTTTGGTGAAACAAACCATTTTACCACAGCGTGTGTATATTGCCACATGTATCTAGCTTGTGTAGTAGAGATAGTGAATATAAGTGGATACGCGTCATTCTGTGTGGGTGTTAAAATGCTTTTGGATTTTAATCTGATTACTTTTACAAATCATAAAGTGATCAATGCATTCATTTTTTAGGCCCATAATAAAAAAGACTCAGCTGTGACTGTGAATACAGACAATGATATCCAGGTGCCTTTGTTAATGAGGTTTTTCTTTTGCATTATTCTCCGTTACTACTACTGTATTCCTTATTCCATGCATCTTTCCGTTTGTTCTGCCAAACTGTCAGGAAGACTGCATTTCTCTTGCATTTATATGCTATCCAGAGGACACACAGTGCTGCCAGCAAGTTTTCTATCCTCTGCATCTCTTTCAGTTTCTTACCCGCTGCCTTTCTTAGTCCATTGGTCTCCAGCTTCTCTGGAATGTCAGTAGACAGGTGTGGCAGCAGAGGAGACAGATGGCAGGCATGACAGCAGGCGTGTTTGGAGTGGAACGTGAAAAGAGTAATATGTGGAGAAAGGATATGAATCTAGCAGAACCAAATTACCGACGCAGTCTGTTTGTACAAATTCGAGCTGTTTAGATTGGAACATCAGGGAGTGTTCTCTTCATCCGTATACACACACACGCACGCACAGTCCCACACATGCAGTGGTGCATACGCCCTCTATTATAATCCTCTGATGAGCTGGCCTCAAGGCTGATAGGTATGATAGAGAGTGTGACAGCTTATCACATCACCATGATGAAGATGTCATTGAGCGCTGGTGTTTTATGTTTGACCTGCACGCTGTATAAAAGATTGACTCCCTGGCTCTCCCCTCTTTTATCTTACACACCAGATACAACATGCAAAAATTCGTTGTAACAACAACCTTAAATTATTGTTGCATAGGCCCCGTATATAAAGCACCAACATATCTACTCTGTGTTCCCACATATCTGTACAAAGTAGTTTTCTCAAACACATTCACTGCCATTCTGTATGCACAGACGTTCATCCTCTCCTCTTGCCCGTTTCAGTCAAGGCCCAGTGCCACCTCTGGACGAGTCATTGACTCCTCCGTCCCATAAAGGTATTGCATAAAGTAAAAACCCACATGTCCTCTAGTCTACTGCGGCCTTAGCTCTGACATTAGAGATAATGAGCCATGTGGAGGAGCTTTAAAACAAAAGGACGTGAGAACCGATGAAGGTTCTTGGCAGTAAAAAGAGACAATAACCCAGCACTGCAGTCTGTTGTTCCTTGTCAAGGATGATGTTGCTGTTAAGTTTGATGTTTACTTCTGTGGAGGGTCTTCATTTCACTATGTCTTGTAAATCATGGACCAAAAGCAGACTTTTGCCTCATTATTGCCCCCCTCCTCCCCCCATCTCCACACACACATCTTTTGTTCTTCAACGTTTGTTGAAGGCTGTTGTTTATTCACTTAATTCATCACCTGCATCTCTAAACAACAGATCAACTTAAAATCCTTTTACTGAACTGACTTTAATTGGGAACCTCGTCTGCATCACAGAAGAACCTTATGCTCCCAATTTTTATTAAAGTTCATTTGTCACAACTTTTTAAATGTTTTTTTTTTTTCTTTTCCTGTTTTGGTTTCAGGCTATTTTCTACAGACGCTGTTTCCACCCTTGAAGCGTTCTTTTCAAGGCTGCATGCAAGCAATCCTGCTAGATGACCAACCTGCTGACCTACACGCAGTGGAAAAAGGACTTGTGGGGGCGTTTGAAAATGTCAGCCTGGACATGTGTGCAATTATTGACAGGTAAGTCCAACAATCACACCAATATTTAAAAAGTCATCAGTAATTTTAAACAACTTCAATACAAATACAAACTGTATTTACATAAGTAAGATGAGCAGGGAAGTGATAGGTAGTGGGGGGGGGGGGAGGGCCTGCCTGAAATACCACTATGCAATAACTATAATAATCTTAACAGAAACACACACATACAAACATAGATCTCAGGGTCACTATGAACCTCCTCCGTCCCCCCAAGTGCCATCTGCACTCATGCACTAAACGTTAAAAAAAGTTTTCATCCTTGTAATATGCTATAATCCTCTAGTTAAACAAATGACATAAACCATTACAATTTTTCCTGTTCATTGTCAAATAGACCGCAGCTGAAATTCTGCACAAAATGTCAAAGTGTTGCCTTTATGGAAGAATTCATTACAACTTGTTGACATTTCAATTTATTTCCTTGTCGTGGACCAGACAAACAGATTGTAATGGATTTGTCATAGAGTCACCCATGCCTTGAGCTTCTCTTTGAGTGCTTACACTGAGTTTGATGTGTTTGATGTGTGCAAAGTGTTTAAACTTGGTGAACTGGTTTAACCCCCCAGTGATTATGCCTTCCCCTGCATTAAATATGAGCCATGGAAGTGATGTGTTAGGCATAACAAAACGATTTAGTGAATAGCTGAAGATTCAAAGAACGTGCTGTTAAGTAGAACAGGCCTGGGAAGCTACAATTAGGAGTTGACCTTGATGTGATTGGAACAGCATTTTCACTTCACTCAGCAATTTGTTTCCAGATCAGGTTTGTCAATAGCACTTACCATCATCAATTTTCCTGCTCAGAGAAGTAGATACTCACTGCTGCTGCTTGATTATTTTGATCAATGTCGCCCTCACTTAAGAAGAGAGGTCCAGGCTTCCTGTGCTGCTGTAGATAATACTTCAACCATGTTTAAACTATTGACACTTTATAAGCTGCTTATGAGATCAAGCAATTTTCTTTTTCAAAAGCTTTAGGGATTATAAATTCATACACAAAAGTTGGTCATTCAAAACTTTTGTGTATTGTGTTGCTAAATGCGCACACTGTGTAATGTAATTTTGATGTGTGCAGTATATTATTAGTTTTATTAGTGTTATTATTATTATTATTATCCATCCATCCATCCATTTTCATCCGCTTATCCGTTACCGGGTTGCGGGGGCAGCAGTCGCCACCCAAATCACATTGCACCGTACCAACCCCCCAAACCTTCCTAGAGGTGGTGAGTCCACTGAAAGGTATTAACCACCCCATCCGGGATTCAAACTTGCCCAGGAGGTGAACCCTGGAGTTCCACACCAATGACAGAGACATTGCCTCTGGGCCACAGCGCCACATATTAATATTATTATTATCATTATCATTATTATTGTAGTGATCAAAATAAAATACCTGGACTGATGAAAATAAATCCATAAACTGGGATCCTCCACTTACACCGTGTAACTTGACACATGTGTCTTAACGCTGTACGCCAGCATGATGGATCAAGACTTTCTTAGTAAATTTATGTAAGATGGTGACGCGACCATGAAACTCTGTAGGAAGAGGATGTCACAAACCAAGACCCACTGTAATTTAAATAACTTTATTTTGGATGTTCAGAAGGATGTACAGAAAAAAAAACTGAATACAAGTTTGACTAACTGTCTAAGATAGTGCGCATGAAAAATTATGGTAATTTATCTGGTAAACTATTATCATGAAATATAGTTAGACAGTTCACTGGCTGATATGAAAACCCATCTACAGTATCTGGCAGTAAAGCGATGAAGTAGGAACATTACGACACCTGGAGCTAGAAGAGAGACCAGTGTGATGAAATTAATGAGATTAGTTAAAAGACCTGTAAGATACTGCATTCTTACTGCAACTATCCTGCAGATACACTGCAGCGCAATATATGTGGTGGAAGTTGAATACTCTAAAGAGGTACTGCAGTCCTCCAAAACGATTAGTGCTAACTATGACATTCATGTGAAACTGTTAATAGTTGCTACCCCCAAGGTAACCTTGGTAAAAAATACTGTTCAAACTCTTGTAAAGGTCTTATTGTCCACAAAATCTATCCTGTCCGCACAGATTGCAGTATTGCCCTGCTCTGTGCCTCCAAATGTTGCCCTGCAGTACTTTAGGTCGGCTCTGTTCTGCCAGAGAAGATGAATGGGCACAATGTTACCATCTAACTAATCAGAATGTCTTTGAAGGCAGTTCAATAGCTCAGTCTGACCTCTTTTTGATCAATGCTGTTTTAGTGTGGGATTCTCTTTTGGCTGAGATCGTGGAGAAGGAGAGATAAACACAAACACACACACATACACATACACACAATGTGTACTCACACAACAGGGGTACGATTGTCTGCATGCAAATGCCTATTTCCCAGTGTTGCTATTATTCTGTAAGGATCCCATCGCAGACCATGCAGTGGCACATAAAAGCATGCAAACACCAGATGTGCATTTTCCTCTCACATCACATTTTGCTTCTCTTTTCTTATCTAAAGCTTGTAATATAACAGAATTTACTCTCTCTCTCTCTCTCTCACACACACACACACACACACACATACATACACATACATATAGATTTGTAAATGATGTAGAAGTGAAAAAACATAAAGTTCCATAGTCAGAATAGAGTCCAGGGAGTTCTAGGGATGAGGCTACAGTATAGTGGCCCTCTCTATGGACACTACGTTACCCTCTCTTTTCCTTAATACTTGGTCAAAGTTGCACACATTTAAGTTAATTTTGCAAAGACTTGGAATGTTATTTTGAGTGGATCTACCCTTAGGGATCGGTCAAAGGACACATTTCTATACTGTCATCATATATCAGCGTGAACAAGCCCACGGTTGTGTCAGCCTCAGTCACACACCATGTGTTAGAAACACTGATTATCATGTCTCTCTCCAGAGAAGGAGCGTATCTGAGCTGCTTTACTGTCCTACTCGCTGCTTGTGTTAAGAAGATCTCAGTATTTTAAAACGACCCCTGTAGCTCTCATGAGTCACTGCTTGTTTTTCTTCCAGCTGCTTTTTCTTTTATCGTCATTTTGTCTGTGCTTGCTCCAACTCTGCAATGCTTCAGGATCCATCCCCACAAGGCCTGCGGGCAATTCAAATAGAACATCTTTGATTTGTTTAGGACTACAATTGGAATTCAAATTTGAACAACTGCGATGTCTCCATGCTGCATGCTGTATTGACAATGACGAAGAATTTTGGGAGCGTATTCTAAGAAAACATCCATTTTGTGTTATTTTGTCTCCTTCTAACACACCATGTTTTATGGGCTGCAATTTTCTTTAAGGATTTACAAGTATTCTGTTCTGCTGCTATGAATTTCGCAACTAACGATGTTCCATTTTGCCTCACTGACACTTTTAATCAGAGAACACCTCCACTGAGGATCAAATATTGACATTTGCAAAGGTTTATGTCACAACTGGATGTAATCTATTTTTTTTTTTCTAATCCACAATTAAAAAAACAACTGATTCTCCACATTTATCTGTTCTAAGGTGTTGTACTATAAGATGTATCACATTGGGGCCAACAAAGGCCAAATTCATCTTCTGAATAGCTGTACAGATTTTTGACATTTATTTATGATGCACCATAATCTTTATCAAACTTATGTTGAAAACATTGAAGTTTTATGATGTCTTTATGTTATGTATTTTTAAGCTGTCATGAGGTCGCTGTAAATTAATCACAATTAATCATCAAATATAGATACATCACATGCCTAAATATGACACAACTGTTTGAAACTTGTTTGTCTATATATGGCCAGAACAGAAAGACAAATAACTTCAGGTAGATGTATTCTTTTCACACCTGTATTGTGTGACCGATGTATGTAATGTAATGATGGAATTATTAAGGAGAAAAAGAAATGCACAAAATATTAACTCAAAATTAGCTTCTTAGGATTTCTTAGGTATTAGTCATTGCTGTGCATCTTTACAGTGTCTTGTTGAACAAGTCAAGAGTTCCTTTCATAATTCTGGTGAAGCCGTTTTTCGAAGAAATATTAATTGGTCTACAGTTTGTCACAATTCATTTGGACACATTGTGTCAGTCAGCATCTCAAGCCATAGACTTGTTTACTGCTCTTTGCTCAGCGAGGCTGGTCTGACACAAGCCAGGTGTCACGCCTGAGTTCTAACCCCTGCGAATGCATGTGGGGGCTTTAGATGGTGTTTTTATTTTTTATTAGAGCGGTGGATGATGGGGAAATTGAATATATGGTGGCAGTGCATTCTGAAAATGTATTAAAGTGCATTTGTATACAATAATTCATTTCACAAATTAATGACAGGAATTACCACTGGGTTTTTACACCTCCACTATTTTGATGAATAATCAATTAAATATAAATTTGTCTTTGTCAAGGTGTATGCCAAATCACTGTGAGCATGGAGGCAGGTGCACGCAAACATGGGACAGTTTCAGCTGCACATGTGACGGAACAGGATACAATGGAGCCACGTGTCACACGTGTAAGTACAGGACTATGTGCACGTCAATGTGCTTCCTGTCCGTCTGCTTCATTAATCTCACTTTAGTGACACTATGTTCTGTTCCTTTTGGGGGTTTTTTCTCCTTTGTCCACCCTTTGACCGCCTTTCAGTGATTAAGCTGTTTCTCCTTCCAGTGCCACAGATCTCAGCAGTGTGGCAGATGAGCTATTGAGGTGTTATCAAAGGCCAGGCCTTTCTGTGGGCACTGTGTACTTGGCTCAAAGAAGGTCGGCCAAAAAGCAGCCCATGAAAAACAATTGTGCTGAAAGAAAATGAGGTTACAAAAGGCAAAATGTCAAAGAGTCGAAGATATTTGTCAGTGGGATTTTTATTCAGAATTACAATCGTATTGACCCACGATTAAAGTGAGACAAAAGAAATACAAGACAGAGACATTCACCTTCAGGATATTGGATCACATTTGGCTTCATATGTTTAACAATTTAATTTACAACCAACATACAAGAGAAGAAGTATATTTTTCTAGGATTCAAATATTTTGTTGAATCCTAAGATAATGTAAAAGAAAGCAAACTGAGTGACTGCTGTAAACACAAGACAATGTTCACATTCTTTGAAAGTTTGTGTGAACTCAGGAACAGAAAAGTTCAGATTCTAGGTTCAACCCTCACATTTCTCTGAAGGGTAATTCCTTCTTCTGTCTGTTTCTCTCTGTCTTTCTGTGCAGATCAACACAAACATAACGTCAATATGTTGTCAGATAGATTGCTAGAGTGTGAGGGACAAGACACCTCTTCTTGACAGGTGCTGAATTGAGACTGGCACCTGCATTAGCCTGCCCTCTGGAAGGAGAAAGTAAAGAAAGTAAATGTAGATGTTGTTTCTTTTAGGAAGAAGTCCATTTTTTGTCACATTAATTTCACTGTGTAGCACAATATGTGTTTTATAGTGTTTTATCTTGTGACATATCCTGAGACAACAAGACTATTTTTAGACTGGTCGAACAACTTTTATGTGAAAATGTCAGTGACTTTTTTTTTTATTTCACTCTGAGTGAAATGAATGCCTTTGTTGTGACCCTCAGCTAAACTCTTGCTTATTTGATGCGTCACATGTGTCCAGTTTAGAAATGTTTTTATTACAAAAAAGAAAAACATGGTGTCTTGTCATTATAGTATGTTTATCTTTCTATGATGTCAATGGATTGCAGATTCTTTACTGCACGAACATAGAATTGCATTCAGGTTTCAGAACCGGTTCTGTCCAGTAGGGACTGGCTCACATTAGGATTTCACAATAAAATAATTCCTTTTTTTATATATTTGGTAAATTGTGTACAATTAAGGCACTACTCACTCTGCTTCTGTATTCAATATCTTTATATTATAATATATTATTATTATTATGCTTGGCACTGACTATTTACTAATACTTTACACTCGCCTTCTGTACATTTTCCTTCTGTTTTCTATACACAGCTATCTATGAACCTTCATGTGAGGCCTATAAACACTTGGGCAAGTCTTTTGACACCTACTGGATTGACCCTGATGGCAGCGGACCCCTTGGTCCCTTCAAAGTAAACTGCAACATGACAGGTTTGTCAGCAGGAGTGCCTGGAATTGTGGGTCTCTGCTTGTGTGTGTCTTTGTGCGTGCCTGAGTGTGTGCCTGCGTCAGTGTCCAGGGTCTCCAACTCTGTCTGCTCTCCGCTCTCAGTGACCTGTGTTATATGGAAACTCTCCAGCTGTCCATCCTCGACCCCCAGCAGCAGAACTTTTAACCTGCTATACTGAGAGTTTCCATGACAACACTGTCACTGCTGACATTCAACTGTGAAGAAGTAAACACAGACACAACCATGCACCAAAGATACATGAATCAGACGTGTTATGCAAACCTAAGCGGGCTCGAGAAGTCAGTGACACTTCTACGTCAAACACACTCACGCACAGGGCGGGTGTGCTCACATACACATACAGTATATGCAAACAGACAGAGCAAAGGCGAGACTATTAACGGCATGTCACTTAGTCCACCAACTAACCCATCGGTCATGCTGGGAACTGCAGTCTCACACGCACCACACATAACTTGACTGACAGTGGAAATGAACTGGGCGATGTATGAGTGACTGGTTAAAGCTGCAACAGTAGAAGTGTCAATTAAACTCCAAAGTCTACAGAAGAGTATCACTGTCCTCACAGCTAATCCACTCTTTCTGTGCGTGTTAAGTTACTATTTGCCAAAAAGCTTTAAGACATTTGAAACAAATCTTTTTATTTTTGTAAGAAAATAACAAAGCTTTTACACCCCACATTTAAGTCTCAGCACTTCAGTTAGCAGTGTTTCCATCAGAGAACTCCTTCTTTATAGAATTCTGAGGGAGGTCTGTCCATGGACTGATATTGAGTACTTATCTCTTATCTTGAGTAATTTTCTGGAGTAATACTGCATGTGATAATGAAACATGTCAAAGTTGCTCCAGACGAAATCTGACTTTTAGAAATTTAGGATCTCTTTTTGTATGAATACATCTATCTTTTTGACCTAATTTGTGTTGTTGACCCATTTGTAAATGTATGTCAGTACATTGTGTTTTTTGAAAAAATCAATTTTTTATATATATTTTTGTAATGTTTGAAAACACACAATAAACATCTCTTTATTTTGTTTATCACTTTTCAGAATCTTTGTTAATGTTTCTTTCAAATACTGCCATAGACAGTGTTTATAGGGTGCATTTACAAATACTAAAAGACCAACATGTCCTAAATGTTTTTGTGTGTGTTTACTTTAGAGGACAAAGTGTGGACAACAGTTATGAACAACCTACCGCCCAAAACACCAGTTACTGGCTCCAGTAGAGAGAGACGGACTGTCCTACAGGTCAACTACAGTGCCTCGATGGAGCAGGTGAGAACACTGATCTCTGACTACATACAACTTTACACCTTCAGTGCTGTTCAGGAACACGAGCACTGGAATAACTCAGCTCCATTGGTGTTGTAATAATAAATCAACATTGTAATAGAACAGAAAAAGAAGCTAATAAAGAGTACATCTAGTCCAGTCAAATCCCACTACCGATACCCAGTACCCAGTACTGGAACTGTTTTTTTTTTCCTTTGTTGAAGCCTCATTCAAATGAATGTATATTTAAAACAAGTGTGTAATATCATATACAGTACAGTAGGTGTGCATTTGTAGCCACGAATGAAGGGTTTTAAGATGCTAAGAGAGATCATTTCTCCCATTTGTCATAATGATGAGAAGCCTTTGAATACAGTAGAAATGAACAAATATTCTACAGTTGCTGCATGGATGTAGCCTGTGTGTAAAATAGCTTTCTTCTTCTTATCTTTTTGAGTGGTGCAAATGCCTGATTATTATTTGAGTTTGGCTCTTGAAATAAGTTGGTCAACAAAAAAGAATACATACTTTTTTAAACAAAATCATGCTATTTCATATCAATTTGTACATAGAAATTGAATTTTGAAAAATGGTAAAAAAAAAGTTATATAAATAGAGTTTGGAATAGACTGCATCACGATGATGCCCAAATTAAAAACAGCAGTGACTGCTAATTGTTGTATTGTTTACAATTACACTCCCTAAAAGTGCACAAGGAAAAAAGAACTGTTCATTAACTATCGATCGTAAAAGCTTGCAATTTATACAGACTGCCGTGGTTTGAAAGCCAAACACAGTCAATCAGTGTTGACTGGCTGAAGGTTTTTACCAACTATTTGACTTTTGTTGTTGGCAAATGTGTTACTAACCATTTGTTAGTTCTTGCCAAGCTGCGCCTTCAGTAATGTGGACCTGCCAACCTGATACTCTCGAGTATTTAGTAAAGTTTTTGTAAAGTGTTCTTGCCAAGCTGCGCCTTCAGTAATTAGTAAAGTTTTTGTAAAGGATACATAGCTGCCCTATTGTGTGAGTCATTTCAGGGGGTAAAAATCAGGCAAATGTGTAATATGCAGCAACAAACAACAAGAAAGCAACTGCTCCACTTTCCATTCTGAGGCTTTGAAAACTACAATCTTGTGTAATACAATATATATTCCTAAATTCACCTGTTCTTACCTGGAAAACGCGGCTGCATAAAACTCTGATTTTGCGTGTCACTCTCACATAAGTCTTTAATGTGCACTGAGTGCTTTCTAGCTGCAGTTGTAACTTCCAGTGATCAGCAAACTGTGTGGTCATCGCAGCCCTCAACACTATGGCTGCTTTTCTGCAGGGGTTAGAGGACTTGAAAAGCATGTTAGTCCTGTGATGTCGTTTCCTCCTAATTAAAACCAATCACATGCTCTGTTTTTAGCTTCTCCATTTGCTGCTGAAAAGTGCTGGGTTTTATTTTCAAGCTATTTGTTCTTACAAGAAGTTGACCTGTCTGGTTGAGTGCGATAAGATAAAATGAAAATATATCTCTGCACTTGTTTTTCCAGGTGACTGCCATCACCACCAGTGCAGAATACTGTGAGCAGCAAATCATCTACAGCTGTCAGAAGTCCAGGCTGCTAAACACTCCAGGTAAGGGCTGAGGATGGCATCTTTATTCACCGCTGACTCAAACACTTCAAACCACTGAGATAGGCAAAAATTGTTGAATCCATCTGCAGTGCTCTGCTGTTCAGAATTCTACAAGAGAAGGAGACAAATTAACAGAAAAATGTGAAAACCTGAATAGACAAAGAAGATAGATGAGTTTTAAAGTGATGTATGCAATATGACAGCAGGATTTCAGATGTGTCATCTTTCTGAGCATGTTCTACTGGTAGCATTAAACCAACACTGGAATATAAGTGAACATATTTAAAACACATCGATGTGAATGTGTTGCATCAGCCTGATTTGGATCTTTCTGAGTAGATTGACTTGGCTCTGGCTCATTTGCATCATATCTGTCGCCACTCGCTCTCTTTGGCTGGAATTCTCTCAAGCAAGGATGTCCACTTCAGTTTGGTTTGGATTAGTTAAGCTGGCTCTCAGAATGGCTTTGTCGTGTAAGGTTTGCCCCCGGATTCGATATGTGTGGTTTGTGTTACGTATGGTAAAGTGATGTTTAAACAAAGTTTAGATCATTAGTATGTAGTGAACATAAGGAGAAAAGGGGGCAAGCAGCTGTGGATTTGCCACTGGCAGCAGTGAAGAGACAAAGGCAGCAGCATTATACTGTGTTCTGCTCAGGCTGTCAGCACTTATTATATTTATTATAATACGTATTTTAATGGAATTTTGTTAGAAACAAATTTGTGTTTTTGTATATTTCTGAATGCAAAGAACGCTTTTTGACCAAAACAAACCATAACTGTAAGAACTGTTTGACCTTGTTACAGGTCTCCATAAACTCTTGGTTTTAGTTTTATGTTTAGTTTTGATAACCTAGTATTTTGCTAACAATAACAATACATAGCTTTGCAGTGAACCAAGAGAACATGAAATCTTTCCATTTGTGTTCATGCACATACACTTCCTTCCCTTTGAATAATTTCCCATTTTTCACCATACCTAAGACATCACGTAGACAAACATCACTCAGACGCACATAGTCCTTTATTTCACTCTTTGACTCCTTACTCTTTCTCTTGTAACTGAAGGTAGTTCCATTCCCAGTGCAAAGTCTGAATATAGAATCAAGAAACATAATTTACACCAAACTACGCCTCATTAATAGCAGTTGGCTTTCATCAAATTACACTGTCAACATCATTTCCAGGCACATGTTGGCAAACTAGCACATGCATAACAGCAAAGCTCACACTCGCTGTTTTTTTGCATCCACTTTCTATTCCAGATTCCCGATCTCATCCATTACATTAGGTCTGGCATTTCAAAATTAAATGAACTGTTAAATGGGAATTGCAAAACTGCCACCAGTGACACCATTCATTTAGAGCCCCAGCAGTAATTGTCCTAATTGTCTGACCCCTTCACCACCTATTTCACATACTGTTTTCTGTCCTTTATCATTTTTATCATCTCTCATAAACACAAGCACACATACATATATGCAGTGTGTCCCTGTGCAGCGTCCAAAAATTTGCAGGGTTGAAATGATGCATGCATCAACACAAAAACAAAGTCACTGATTGGTTGAGCGATCCTGCGTACCTTCAACTGGATTTTTATCTATGCTTGATCATTCGGCACTGCTCTCTATTATCTTCGTCTCATGCCAATCTAAACCATCTTTTCTCTGCACTTACTCTTCTCCTGTTCCTTTATTATGCTTTCCCTCATTCCCAATTACCACGGAACTCTGTCTTTGTTTTAACTTCCAATATTATTGTTGTTCTTATGGATGTAGACAGACTTTTTTAGTAATATTTGGGCTTTACTTCTTATTGTGAAAACAATTAACAATTACACCAATTAAATAAAAAAATATTAATTTCGTACTTACTCATATGATAACAGCTCATACATAGCAACTATCTCTCCAAAGGTGATTTTGTAACTTATACCTTTTGGTGGTAATGTCTAATTTAATAGCCTCTCATCTGAAAATTACTCAATAAAAAAAAAACCTCAGTTCCTACTAAATTACTTTTATTTTCATGAAACAAAGCCTATATTTTTAACTTCAGCATTTCCCAATTTTAGGTTTTGTCTTATTACTGCTAAATACTAAACATTAGGTGAGTTTTGAAGAACTGTAATTTCCTCTCCCTCGCCAAACAAAACAAAAGAATGAACCATTTAGATTCTGAAACAAATTAAAACGTCTTTCCTCTCTTGTTTCTCACACAGATGCATAGACACTGGCAAAAATAATCACTCGTGCACATACACAGAGAGAGAGAGAGAGAGAGAGAGAAAGAAAGAAAGAGAAAGAGAGTTGACACACAGATTTGTTAACTAATGAAAACACTTTATTTCTCTTTTTGTTTCATTTGCCTGAAGCAATTGCTAGAATAATTTATAGCACCCGAGCTAATGAAGAGAGAAATGTTTCTATCAAATAAATGAGCTCATTAATCCAGTGAACTGTGCCTCAGTGAGATGTACTGTAAATGTCTAATACGTGCCCTGGTTAGCAGCAACACTGATGCGCTCGTGTGGGAGATTTGCAAAAAGTGATTTACTCTTTCCAATATTAGCAAAAGAAAAAAAAAACATATATAAGTTGTTATATATCATCCATGACCCTGAATAAGAAGTAACTGTAAAAGGTAAATTAATAAATTAGTTTCCCAAGATTACATAATAAAGACAATGCAAAATCTTCTTAAAAAAATAACCTTCTAACCAATACTAAATTATACAATTATACAATTGTATTTTTGAAAGTGATACCGAGGCATGTGCGATGCAATGGACAGTTTTAATCTATTCTCAACATGTAGAACTAATTCCATTTTTAACAACATTACAACAATTTAGAAAACATAAGTTCGAAAATGATCTTTTGTGAAAACTGCTTTGAGAGACACGGAGTGAGGAAGAGAGAGGCCCAGAGAAGGAGGGGAGAAGAAACCTGGGAGGACAGAGATACAAGATGAGTGTGTCTCAGGATAATGAGGCCATGTGTATGCACAGCATTGTAACATTTCAGTCCTTGGGCTCTAGTGGTCTCAATTATTGACTTCAGCCAGGCACAATAATATTCCGCACACATGCACACACTCACAGGTCTTGAATTACACCCTCATGACTTTGTCCAGCACCACTTACAGACCACTTGTTTTTTTTCTCTTTTCTGATCATTAAAGGGTACAGACATGGTTGAGACAAATGTTTTTTTCTTCTCCCTATTTTGTTTCTTTCTTTCTCATCACAAAAATAGCATGCACCAAAATGGTACACTGCTGTGAAATGTTAACAAGGCACGCTGTCATCCAGCTGTACTACAAAAGTCGGTCAGAGTTTCTGTTTTACTGTGATAAATGCAGTCTTTTACCCGCCTGCATGAGTGTTTCTAACTCAGTTGGGCTTTTACTCATCTCCCAGAGACATTGTTTTTAAAGTAGTTTTTTTTTTGTGGTTAATGGAAAATAATGTATTTATTAATTGTGGAATCGCCCATTGTTTTTTACTGTTTAGGTTTTCCTCATTGCAGGTATTCTACCGTTTTATTATCCCTCTGAGCTTTAACACTGCCCGGTTGTGCCACGTCTTTCATTACCAAACTAATGTTCTGGTTACAGTGTCATTAATTTGCGAAAGCACTTGAGGCAAGAAGCACATCAGGGGCCAAGACAGAGCAAGCCAATATATTGAAATACAACAGAAAGTAGCAGCACCGTCAAAGTCTTTGGGCAGCTTCATCGCCGTCCTCATCAACCCATGTTCTGTGTTCCATCTTCTTTCCTTACTCCCTGTGGACAAGATACTAATTAACATCAAATGATTCTGTCTATTTTTTTCTCCTACACTGAATGCACAGATTAGAATCAGCCTTCCCATCAAGGTTGCAGGCAACTTTTGCTGCCCACCCCGGGGGCAGAAGAGCTGAAAAGACATATTCAGGGTTGATGAATAAAGTCAGGCTTTTTGCAGGTTAACGAAATGAGAGATAGAATTAGCCCAATTTTTTTCATTAGTTAGAAATTGAAACCCTTAGGAACATCTGTGCTAAGTGTTTGAAAAGTGGCAGTGTTAGACAAGAAGGTTTTTTTTTTTGTTTTTTTTTTTGTTTTGACAAAGTGATAATTTTAAAAAAGACAGAGACAGCTACAAAAGTGTGATTTGTCACGTTGGGGCGCAAATCATTTACATCCCATACTGTGCGCTCTCTGCTTGCTGTTTCCTTAGTAATGCGTCATTGCCTGGGATAATGCTGTCATATGTTCTGTTGACAGAGTCGTGCATCTTATCCTGCCTCGTGTCTGCCCACCTGAGTGCCACACTTACAGCTTATAGCTACAGAGGCACAGGTGTCGAAGTGGAGGAGAATAACACTTTACAGTACATTAAGTTGGAGTAATAAGGTGTTCGCCAGGGCAGCTTCTTTCCTACCTGGTATTTCCTTGGTTCCCTTTTTCTTTCTTGCTTTCTCATTGTGCTTTTTCACCAATTTTCAGTCAGTGTCTTGGTCTGACAAACTAGTTTTGTGTATGTGTGGGTGAGCTCTTGTTTGACTGACAGCCAGAGTCTGTAGTCTGTCTGATGTCAGATAGATGTGCATGTGCTGTAACTGTTTGTAGATACAGCACCAGTGCTCATAGAGCATCTGATGTGTGTTTCTGTGTGTAGCTGCACACTTTTAAAGTCTCGGGATGTGTCTGTGTGTGCGTGTGTCTCACTCAGATCTTTTGTATGCTGTGCACTGTCCGTTTGCATGACTAAGTGAACTACCCATGCCTGCTGCCCACAGGCTGCAGCCGTCTCCTAGCATGTTAAATACTCCCCACACAGATATTTCAGAAAAGTAGTAATAAAACAAAACATAACAAAACATAAATTTGATTTAATCTTTTTACATCAATAAGTATAAAGTAATGCAAAGATATGATGTATGAAGAGTTATGAATCTATTGATAAAGATGCTGTCATTTCCCAGTGTTGTCAGTGGTACAAGTGTAGTTTCT